TTGCAACTTTTTGAGAAAGCGCCATACTGCTTTCCACAGGGGTTGCACCATTTTACACTCCCACCAACAGTGAATCAGGGTTCCAGTTTCTCCACAACCTTGCCAGCATTTGTTGCTTGAGAAGAGGCTTTCATGTATTTTTTCACATACTATTTAATTTGCCTGTCATATTGGTTAAGCAACTGAGTCACAGAGATGTTATGTGATAGTAGTTAAGAAGAAAGCTGATAAACACCTCCACCTATACCACAAAATCATAAAGGAGAACATGAAACTTAGAAAGGTTGCTTCTTGTTTAAAGTCAAAGAGCTGGAAGTTAAACTCAGCGGGCAAAGTCCAAAATTCATCCACTTAATCAGTGAATCCCCACACAGGCTGAGTTTTAATGTTAGACCATGAAATCTTTTTTACAGCCTCCACTTGTGTGCGATCACTGTAGTTTTAGCGACATGTGGTCATATCTCTACCGAGATATTCTATTCCCTCCAATTTCTTTTAAATGCTATTGTTGTGGTTGTTGTTGTAGTTGAGTGCCTTTGAGTTGCTTGTGACTCAGTGACCCTATGTACAACAGCTCTGACTCCTGCTCTGTACTGATTCAAACTTAATTGTCACTGACACATCTACCCCCATTTCCCCAGTCACTGGGTCAATCCATTTCCTCCAGGCTCTTGCTCTCTTGCATTGTTTTCCCAAACAGTCCTTCTTCAAGGACTGGTCCCTCCTTGCAACATGCCCAAAGTATGTCAGACTGAGCTTAAGAATACTTGTCTCCAAGAAGTACTCTGGTTTCACCCTCTCCAGGTTGAACCTGTTTGTTCTCCTAGCAGGCCATGGTGTACATTCAATATTCTTCTCCAGCAATACAACTCAAAGACATCAATTTCTTCTATCATCCCTAATCATTGTCTAGGTTTCTGAGGCATAGCAAGTAACTGTGAAAACCATGCCCTGGGTGAGGTGCACCTTAGTCTCCAAACTGACATCATTACTTCTCAGTACTCTGGAGGGGTCCCTGACAGCAGCTTTTCCCAATGCAATTTGTCTTTTGATTTCCTGGTTGGTACCAAGAGTGTTGATTGTAGAGCCAAGCAAACTGAAGCTCTTAACAATCTCAATCTCTTCTCTGTCTACCATGATGTTGCCAATCAGCCCAGTGGTGAGAATGTTTTCTTGATGTTGAGCTTCAATCCATGTTGAAGGCTACAGTCCTTAACCTTCTGCAGCAAATGCCTCAGGTTCTCCTCCGTTTTAGCAAGCAAGGTTGTGTTGCCTGCATCAACACAGGTTGTTGATGAGTCTTCTTCCAACTCGGATTAATCTATAATTTTGAACTTCTTAGCCCAGGAAACACAGGTTATGTACTATGTAGGTCTTTCAACTATAAATGATCTTCCTATGTTTTATTAACTTGAATTTTTTTTCAGTTGTTTATTAAAAATTAGAATCTAAAGGAAATACATTGCCTTCAGTACAGCAAATGTTGAAATTAAAACTGTCTTCCTCTGAGTAGGGAGTTGGGGCAGGGGCCCAACTTTTCCACAGTTTAATTATTTGACATTTCCCCCATACATGAATAATTATATCTTTAATGAATATCTCTTTCTGGATTGGATATCTCTCTTCATTTTTTTTTATTAATGTCTTGCTATTTCTTATCATTGTATCAATTGATAGGTAACAGACTGATGGTAAGGAGATTACTGAAGATAATAAAAAGAGCCCTGGTGACAATCCGCTCATGAAAAGATTGGTGGTTCAAATTTACCAGCTCCTCAGTGGGAGAAAGATGGATAATCTCTGCTGTAAAAGATCTTCAGCCTCAGAAACCTAACAAAGGGTCACTAAGTCAGAATCTAATTGATGGCAGTGAGTTTGGCTTGGGGTAAAAAAAGTCAGATGGTTAAGTCTTATATGATGTGTTGTTAACTGGAAGGTTGGGATTATGAACCCATGAGCCACACTCTGAAAGGAAATATGAATCAGCCTCCTCCTATGGAGATATACAGGCGTGGAACCTGATGGAGCATCCATCGTGAATTAGAAGCACCTCAAAGGCAGTGCATCAAAGCACAAGTAGACAATCTCAAAAGATTGCTAATGAAAACTACTTCTATCAATTAATACTTTGGATAAGAAATATACTTCAGACATGTTGTAAGGAGAGACAGGTCCTGGAAGAGGAACACCATGCTTTGGATGGTGGAGGGACAGTGCAGGAGGGGAAGACCCTCTATGAGGTGGATTGATTCAGTGACTGGGGTAATTGGGATGGGTGTACTGGAGACAGTGCGATTGGCACAGGATAGAGCAGGGTTTAGGGCTGTTGTACATAGGGTCACTATGAGTCGCAGAAGTCACATTTCTCAAATATTTAACTAATAATTCTCAAATATTTAACTAATAATAGCATAATTATTTTATTAAATATAATATCATTCTCTTGAATATGCTGGTTTTCAGAGAGCTCTGGTGGCCTAGTGGCAAGAAGCTGTGCTGCAACCTCGAAGACACACAGTACAAAGCCATCAGCTGCTCCATGAAGAAGGATGAGCAATCTCCTCCAGAGCAACTGGCTCTTAAAAGCCTCTTAAGCTTAAAAGCTTAACTGCCTCTTAAAAGCCACCAGAGGGTCAACTACAGGTTGGTTCCAACTCTATGGTACAACAACAACATACTGGTTCTGTAGTCAGATACACCACCATCTTTCAACTACAATTCAATGATGACATATCTGATTCAATGATGACATGTGAAATTTGGTTAACTATGTCAATCCTCCTCTACGCATTCTATTCAAACTCACTGCTGTCCAGTTGTTCTGACTCACAGCAATCCTCCATTGGGTTTCTGAGACTAAATCATAATGGTAGGAGACTGTCCATCTTTCAATAGATTTTCAAGGGGATTTGAACCACTGGAGATGGTTTCAGTTAGTGGCACAACTTGCTACTGAGTCCAACATCAGAGGTCTCTAGTTATTTTAAATGAGAGTAGAATCCCTCAGTACTGATCAGGGAAATGCTTGAAATAGTATTAACTGGCTTCCTTTAACAAATCTGTACCACTGAGATACAATCCAAATAAGAATGGATTGAATAAAGAGCTAGACATTTTGACTTCCAGATTTTGATAGAGTAGAGCATCCTGAGCAATAACTCTTAAACTAGGTTCTAGAAATATACTATAAGTTCTCCTCCTGCATCTATAGAAGATGGTTCTTGGAGAGGTACCCACTTCTGTCTTTTTAATGAGCCCCACCAGTGATTTGAATGTTTAATCATGTCTGAGAATCACTGAAGCACCTAATTGCTTCATTCTTTCATGGTGTTATACTAAGGTTCACAAATATGTAAACAACTTGCCTTTTTCATATTATTTCTGGGATAATAAACTAACAAGAAATTTGAAGTGTGGTTAGAAGCATGGAGTGAAGTTGGCAGTAATCAACAATTTTTCCTAACTGAATTGTTACAATATAACAAATCTGAGAGAAGAATCTATTTACTATTTGGGCATCAAGTTGATCCCCCAACTATATTCACTGGGAACAAGCACTAACCCACATCGATCAAGGTCTTTGTGCTGTAGCAGCTAAGACCTTTTTAGACAAGAGCCTGTTAGAACTTCAAATCTCCTTTGGTTATGCAATCGAGGGACTATAAACTAGGAAATATGTAGAGAAGAAATGAGACAAGCTGGGAGACCCACGAAAGAGATAACAGGGAGCAAGTTGGTTACCAGCACATCACTACACTAAGCCAGTGTTCTTCACTGTCTGTGACTGGGAGGAAAAAGACCCAAGAAGAGAGCCGCTACAGTGGTGTACGTACAGTTGGCCAATTTTACCAATAAATTCACCATGACCTTAAATGTCTTCCTCTTACAACCTCTGAGAATAACTCAATGATCCTTTTTCTCAGGAAACTCTCAATTTTTTTTAGAAAAGAGGTGACTCAGTATTTTTATCAAGCTCAAGAAGAGTCACCACTATTGAAAACATTCCTTACTTACCAATTTTGTAACGTCTTTCACATCATCAGTCACAGTATCCCGGCAGATCCCTTTAGTTTTGACGAGAGGATTAAATAGGAGCAGCTGAAGATATATGCAAGTGATAATCCAAGTCTAAATGGAAACAGAGAAAATTCTTGGTGACCTTTAATAAAAATCTGCAATCTTCTTAACTATGAAAAGCTTACACCTTATGTAGGAAAGGTCAACCTACCAAATTTAAAACCAATACAATCAATGTTAAGCATTCAAATTATTCTGACCAAATTATACATCATCTCAGTAAAAATACAGCTTGCAATGACAGTGCATATTGTTAACTTTTGTCAAATGCTTTCTACACCCAGCTTCCCAATGGCAATTGGGAATAAACTTGTAGCAACATGTAGTGGATTTATCACTTAGGGTGTCTTCTAAAATTTAGGGAATGCATAAAAATCATACCTTAAGGCACCAAAGGAAACTTTCCCTCTACTTTAAATGTCAGGTTTTGGCAAGCAATAGCATAACTCTGTGTAGTACTATAATTCAATAGTCTAAGAGAGCATTCTGAAGGAAAATGAGGGAGAAAGTAATTCTAGCACAGAATTTAATCCAATTGTGACTCTGCAAAACAATACCTTAAATAACTACTTTCATAAGGAAAAACATTTCCCTAAGCAACAGGACAACATTCTTGAACCCTAGCAAAATGTGATGGCTCCCAGCAAGATGGATTGGCACAGTGATTGCATCAACAGGCTTAAAGCACAAAGGAGATTGTAGAAGGGCACAGGATTGGGCAAGGTTTCAAAACTGTTATAAAAAAAGATCACCATGAGTCATTCAGAAAGTGAGGACAGCCCTCAATGAGAAAGACAGACAGAGTGACTTGAACAATGCACTCAACACGTAAGAGATTGTGAGGATGGTGCGGAATAGGACAAGGTTCAGATGTGTTGTTCATAGGGTTGTTATTTGTTGTAGTCAATTCGAAGACAACCAACAACGACAACATAAATTGTTGTTGCTGGCTCAACTGCACATAACAACAGCTTATTACTGCTATTAGTTGCCATCAAGCGAGCACTGCTGGTCTTGTAATAAGAAGCTGTGCTGCAATCTCAAAGGCATGCAGTTCAAATCCACCAGGCAGGTGTTCCATGGGAGAAGGATGGGCAATCTCCTCTTGCGTGATTTACTGCCTCTGAAAACCCATGGGATCAGGTGCACCTTCTTCTTCAGACTGACACTGTTGCCCTTTTAGCACTCTAGAGCTTTTCCCAATGTAACTCATCTTTTGATTTCCTGGTTGCTGGTGTCAAGGGTGTTGATCCATCCATGCGTATATATAATGATGCCAGTCTATAGACTAAGGTGCACCTAATCCAGGTCATGGTCTTTGCCATTACTTGTTATGCATCAGAGAACTGGACAATAATAAAAGATGACAGAAGAAGAATTGATGCATTCGAGTTGTGCTGCTGGAGAAGAATCTTGAATATACCATGGACTGACAAGAAAACAAATAAGCCTGTTTTGGAGAGGGTGAAATCAAGTTTCTCCTTGGAGGCTAGGATTTTGAAGATCTGTCTCACATACTTCTACGTGGCCAAGAGAAACCAGTCCTTGGAGAAGGGCATCATGGAGAGGGTGGAGATGGCATAGGAGAAGAAGACCCCTGATGAGATGGATTGATACAGGAACTGGGAAAATGGGATTAGGTGTGTCAGAATCAGTAAGACTGGCTCAGGACAGGGCAGGATTCAGAGCTGCTGTACACAGGGTCCCTATGGGTCACAGGTGATTCAACAGTGCATAACAACAACAACAACAATACATATATTGCTTATTGTTTGGGGTTTGGGGGGGGTTTTCTTTTCATGTGTCACTGAGTCTGAACTGACTCACAGTGGACCCTCCAACAAGGTTTCAGAGACAGTTTAGTTGCACAAGAGACTACCCATCCTTCTCCCATGGAGCATCCTGTAAATTTGAACCACAAGCTTTTGGGATTGCAGTGCATCTATCTTCTTACTGTAGAAGAGGTCTTGAAACACTTACTGCAGAAGATCAAAGACTACATCGTTCAATATGGATTGTATCTCAATATCCAGAAAACAAAGATTCTTACCACTGGACCGAAAAGCAACATCATGATAGAGAAAAGATTGGCACTGTCAACAACTTCATTTTACTTGGATCTAAAATTAACATGCTTAACCAGCAGCCAGGAAATTAGAAATTAGGAGGCGTATTGCACTGGAAAAGTCTGCAATTATTAGGGGCCTCTCCAAATTATTGAAGAGTAATGATGTCAGTTTGAGGATTAAGGTACATCGGAATTAGGTCATGGTCTTCCCAATTACTTGTTATATATCTGAGAGCTGGTCAATGAACAGGGGTAAAAGAAGAATTGATGCTTTTGAGCTGTGGTGTTGGAGATGAGAGCTGAACATCCCATGGATTGTCAAAAGGAAAAAAATATGTCTCGTAGAGGGTGTAGCCAGAGTGCTCTTTGGAGGCAAAGATGATGAGGCTTTGCCTCACATACTTTGGGCATGTTGCTAGGAAGGGCTATTCCTTGGAGAGGGACACGATGCTCAAAAAGGTAAAGGATTGGCAAAGGAGAGGAAGACCCTCAACCAAGTGGACTGACACAGTGACTGTCACCATGGACTCTAACGTGTCAGGAAGTGTGAGGATGGCACAGAACAGAACAGGGTTCAGAGCTATTGTTCATAGGGTCACTATGGGTTGTACTTGACAGCACCTAGCAACAACATAGTTGAGATTTTTAAGAACATGAGTATCTTATTTTCCCCCAGTATCTTTGCACCAGTTAGCATAGTATCTTGTACATGAGAAGCTCTTAATGAGTATTTGCTGGATGATTGATGAACTGATAAAAAAACAGTCTAATGTTCCAACTCAGTAACTGTTTATTGATCACTTACTATGAGACAGATATTGTACCAGCCACTGGGGAAATGAAGATGATAAAGATGTCCTTGAAACTCAGAGGCGAGTAAATAAATGACAAGCTCAACCCGTGATAAATGATTTGCAAACACGGAGGAGGAAGCAATTAATCAATTAACCTTACAGGCCAGAATGACAGTGCCAAGAAAAGCCAGAAAGAGAAACTGACTCTGGTGGGATTTTTGAGGACAAGGAGGATATGCAAGGGTCAACCAAGAAACGACTGGCCTTCTGTTAAAATTAAACCAAATGGGCAAAGTATGGAGATATGTAGATATCTGAAAATATGAGTGACTGAGAAACTAAAAATTGCCTATAATACTGTAAAATGACATAAATACCTAGCCTCACATGATAGAGAGCCTACTTAACTAGTCATATTTTTTTTAAAAAAATAACTGACTATCTTCAATTAATATATGCTAGCCAACTGGAATTTACTGAACCAAATGACAACTCTCATTTGCCAACATTTTTAACACTACAGTGTTTCCTACACAGATACAATGGCTTGCAAACAAAAATCAAACCATTTGACTGTGCTTTTAACAATCGATTTATACTGCTTTAATCACTGGGGTCTATTTCAGCAATAATTTTACTGAAAACTAGGGAGTTCTAAGGGTGTAGTCTGCAGGGAGTTACACTGCTAACGCAAAGGCCAAGAAGCTGGGGTCCACCAATATCTCCGAGAAAGAAGGATTGGCGATCTTCTCCTGTGTGATTTACCGCCTCAGAAACCCTGCAGAGGGTCAGCTATTAGTCAGTTCTGACTTAAAAGCAATGAGTCTAAGTTTTAGCTGACAAGTAAATGTTAAGGTTTTTTTAAAAGAACGAAAATAAGGAGTTTCTTGAAAATTCAAGTACAGTCATGGTAATAATGTCTGATACTCTACATTGCTGCTGTTGTTATTCACATTCAAGTCAGAACCAAGTCATCATAGCTGAGCCTCCAGCCTACTTTCATAGGAATGCAGTTAACTGCATGAGAAGGAACTGCCTATCTTTCTTCTTCGGAGCATCTGGTAGAATTGAACTGCATGTCTTTAGGTTGGCAGTGCTACTCCTTACCACTAAGCCACCCAGAACTCCCTTGTTGTTTGCCAGAGAGTTGGAACCTCCGGCTGGTTTTCAGAGGCAACAAAACCACACAAAAGGAGTCTACACATCCTTCTCCCACAGAAAAGCTAGTGGATTGGGATCGAGTGCCTTTGGGATTGTGGCACAGCTTCTTACCACTAGCCCATCAGAACAGAACTCCTTAAGTACTCGACATTACAGACTAAGAAAAAAAAATTATTTCCATCTCCAGTACACTGGGATTTGATCAGGTGCTGGGGAGTGATTCAGAATAATCAAGTCCAAGAGAAAACTCTGCATTAGAAAACAAAGGTCCTGTTTTACAGTGCTAAAAACGAGTTAAAATATGTCAGAAAATTAAAACTACGTCACAGGATCAGTACTTTCTTACTAATAATGCAAAGGGAAAAAAACAAAACCCTTCTGCCACTGAATTTGATTGCAACTCATAGAGAACTTTAGAACAGAGTAGAACTGCTTGTGCCACAGGGCTTTCTAAGGCTGTATCTTTACAGGAGGAGCCTTGTTAGGTGTTTTTACTGTGAAGCAACCTGATAAATTAGAACCAGCCTCTTCTTTCATCAGCTGAGCACTTAATCACTGTGTGTCCAGGGCTCCTTGATTTCACAAAAGAGCTCCAATTGATGGTTTGTTACGTGAAGAGGGCAGACTGACAAGGCACTCTCACCCACACAACAATGCATCTACTGACGAGATTAGCACTGTCTCCCTTCTACTACTGTGTGAATGACTTCTGTTTAGGAGTCAGGAGTGGCATCCACTTCTTAAACATCATGGCTCTAGAAACTCTATGAACTTAGGGGACAGTTATAGAACAAGGTTCATGTCTTTTGTTGATAGGGTCACTAGGAGCTGCTCAACTCTATGGCACCTAACAACACCACAACTCTTTGGACAATCTTAGAATTAAAAAAAAACAACAACACCACACACACACACACACACACAACACCCAAAGAAAAAACCTCTTCTATTTGTATAGTGTTCTTTCATTTGTTATTATGTGCCTTCAAGTCCCCTGACACTCATACTGACTCTACGTACAATAGCTC